TCACTGTATACTGTAAAAGTGCTTGCTTTAAAGCCTACTTATACTTTGTTTAACTAAGATGCATTTAAAGAATTACACACTCAGGAGATGTTTGACATTGTTTTCCTTTGCCGCTTCAGCCATTTCAGGGAAATGTCTTTTAAGCTGCAGCATGTTCTGCTTAGTGAGCAGCGTAGGATTTGCGAAGTAACTGGCTGCTTACACTCACCAGGAGAATAGCCTTCTGTTTTACCATTTGGAAACATACTTTTCTGTCAACGTATTCAGGTTATTACTCACTGTATTGCGCCCAAGTTGCTTTCACTTCAGTGAAACATAGCTGTTAAATAGGCAAGCATGTTTTACTTACCAGTTATTGCACTTCATTAATGATGAACTTTACTTTTTGGGTAAACTATATAAAATTTGTCAAGATTATACATAAACCAGATTTTTTTTCTTTTAGTATTGAACTATCTGTAAGAAGTGACAGATTTAAGATAAGCCATGACACTTTCTTTTTCTCCAAGCTTTACCTGATTAAACCAGTGTTGAAGAGTGCTTTGGTGTTTTTATTTTGGTTTGAGTAGCCTAATTTGCTTTATTTTGATTTAGTGAAGTTATGTGTGAATTGCTTTGGGGCAGCAAAGTCCGAATCTGTCAATTTTCAAAACTTGTTGTGGGATTCATTTTGCTGTTAAAGAAACAGCCCTAGCCAAAGAAGATGATAAAGTAACAATGTTACTAAAGGAAATGATAGTGTTATCTTTGTAGCCTTATTTGAGTACATGAATCAAGTGGTAACCATTTTCTGTAATGGGCTCTCTTTTGTAACCTTGTCCCTCTGATTACTCAATAGCATTAGTAAACCTGCCATCCTTCTGGCACTGTTAGGAATGAATAAAAGGCTTGCTCTGTTGCAGGTGTGTTTGTGGCCAGTTAAGGAACAGCAATGGACATTTTTGGTGCTGTCACAAGCTCCTTGAGTTCTGTTGTGCAGTCACTTCTGCTTAATTCTCTCAACTAAATTATTTTAATTTTCTCTCTCTCTCTCTCCAAACCTGTGTCTATTTGTCCGATTTCTCAGTCACTCTCTCTCAACTGACCTAGCTCCTCGGTTAGTTTCTGGTTCTGTACTCCCATTCTTACTGTGTTTCTTCTGACTTGCCTTTGGGGTTTTTTGTCCATGTGGTCCGAGTCCTGCTTTCAGTTTCATGTCAGATGTGCCTTCATTTATTCCCCAATTTGATTGCATTTTCCAGGCTTTCTTTTGTCATCTTAGCTGAAAAGTAGGTCTAGTTACTTATCTTCCAGTGTTTCTGGATAGCCCTGACTGCTCAGTGAATTCATTGTGTATTCTCCGTTTACTCCCAAATTACTTACCGAATGTGTGAAAGCTAGTCAGCTTTGAAGGGGTATTTGTGGGAACAGAAAGGGAGAAGCTGACTGACAGCTCTCTGAAAAGTCATTTTTTGTGTGGCAACAATAAGGATGCATGAAAGAATGGTGTACAAAAATTCAATTCACAGTTCAAATTGTGATAAAAGTATAATGAACTGGAAGAGAATAACCATTAATTGGTAACATTGCGATCCAGAAACAATAAAATAAGAGCTGGCCTATGCTTGCTGTTGCTCCTAATACTGTGTGTTAAGGAAAAGATGGAGTCTTCCATTTAAACCCTTGTTGATGGACTCTAAAACAAAAACAGTTTGGTTTTGCTTAAAACAGGAAATTGGATGTCACAACTCTGGATTATGTGTTGTCCTGTAATATTTGTTTGTGTGTTTCTACTCATGCTTCCAGTACAACGGGAGCTTTAACTATAGACGCACTGAATTCAGACTTTTTTTAGCTGATACAAAGGATCTGAAGGAGAGCCTGTTGAGGCCTTGGTTTGTCCCAACGAAAGATGAAGTAGCATACTGATAGCCTAAATGTTAAATGGGTATATTTGTCTGACTGGAGTAGAGGTCTTTGGAAAAAAATGCTCCAGTTTCATCTGATAACTGAATTTACAAAAAAACCCCCACATTCACTTCTTAAGCTTCTTTGTTTGGAAACTTCACTTGGTGTGTATATACACCCACCTATATGCATGTGCACACACTCTTTTTGTATATCTATTAATATATATGTATGACATGTTCAAACATGATTTGGGCATAAGGATATTATGTGCATAGAAGGATGATATTTGAGGCATTATTAGAAGAAAATGATTATGAGCAGCTGGGTAAACAAAAATCTTTGCAAAGTTCGTAACTGCAGGTAGGAGACTTTTTGTGATACAGGCAATGATCTCAAAAGTTGTAGAAACAGCTTAGAACATGAATGGAACATAAACCCTGCATTTTCCTAATCCTATGTCATCTCACCTGTCATGTAGTAGATGTGGTGTCACGTATTGTCTTGTCATAATCATGAACTTGAAAGGGTCTGTAGGCATGAAGAGGTGTAATTAAGATGTTTATGCCTTTGGTCACCTTTTAAATGGTAGTTTTTGCTGATGTTAATTGTATGTTAAATTAATGTTGTTTATGCTAATCTAAGCTAGACACTGCTTGTGATAGTTTTAGGTGTGTCCAATCTAAATTGATTGGTATCATAGCTAATGCTGTATTTACCTATGTTAATAATGGAAAAATTTTCTTTGGGACATTTCATTCTCTGAAACAGAATAAATGATTGATTAACTTGTTGCTTTGGAGTGTTTCTCTAAAAAGGCATTTTTATGTAATGTTTTCTTGCAAATATAGCTGATCAAAGTGTTTTTGGAAGCCTCAGCATAAATCTTTGTCTACATTCTTGATCTTGGTTCTTGAAATTTATTTTTGCATTGCCTATAAGAGAGTACAGATATGTGGCTTTGAAAAAATATCTTTTTCCCTCTGGTATAGCAGTCTGTATCTTTTTAATCTTGAGACAGAGTAGTACTGGAAATTTTCTCTTATTTTTTTTTTACCTGAGTAATGAATAAGCTTTTAAAACTACATTAAAAAGACTTTATTAATGGACTTGCATGTTGTTTAATGCCAGCTTGCTTTGCTTATTTGAAGAAACTGCTTTCTCTTCTTTGATATAAAAACACTACTATCCTTTCAACTTTACCTTTGAGATTTAATACCTGAAACTTTCTGTACAACAGTTAGCTACCTTCTGACAAGTTCTAAGAGAATCTGAGATAGTATTAGAGGTACCTCACATACTTCCTTCATCAGAAGGAAAGTTTTGATACCTTTTTCTTGTTTCAGACAAGGTTAATGTTGTAGTAATTGTGTTGTTACAGTGGTGTTACGGATGGGGCAGTATTTGGAGGTAGTCGTGGTGTCTTACTGGACCACCTGGTATTGGGCAGCTTTCAGATAAATGAGCCTTTCAGCCTCAAGATGAAGGTTTGTTTACTTGAAAACTGGTCTCTCTTTCCAGTTACACAAGTTGGTCTAATAAAAGATGCTACTCCTGCCAAAGGTCTTGAATTTCCTTGCCGCATTGAAGGAAACATGCTATTTTAGTTTGGACTTGTTTGTCTTGAATGGAGAATAGTTGTGATGGCTTTGGTTTTTCCCCTTGTACATTAGTTATTTGTGTAGCTAACAGCCAGGTGTTGTAGATGGCTTGTTTTATAGCTGGCCTGACACACTTTGTTAGCAGTGGAAAGGAGTGTGTGACTTCAGATGTATAAAGGGCAACGTACTCCTTGTACTTAGAAGGAACCTCTTAAAAAGAACCAAACTATGCTCTACTTTTAAATCCTGTTTTGTGTCTAACATTTCTATCTTAGCTTTATTTTGCTGTTTAAAAAAATGAAACATTTTTTGATTATTTGAATCAAAAGTGGGATAAAATTTTAAGACTGGCAGTTGAAACAACTTCCCAACCGTTTCAAATTAAGTATACGAGTATTTTAACTAAATAGGAAAGTACTTTCATGAATTTGTAAACAGATTATTTCAGCTTTTAAAAAAAAGTCTACCAGTTTTATTTCGATTCTTTTTAAGTGCACTTTGACTCTGTGTAAACACTTTAGCCTTCATGCAAAGGATGTTTTTTCAGCCTTTTTGCATTCCCTTGACAGCGCCAGTTTATTTTGATTTACAGTGGTTTTTTTTTTTCAAACTATGAGTTCAGGATAAGGGGGAGTACAAGTTGAAAATTTAGTTTGAGCTTTCACTGGTTCAGTGAGTGTCACTGCTTAGTCTGAAGTTTGTATATACTTTAAAGACACTGTGTATTGTAGTTTTCAGCTTTGAAGAGGTTGCTATGATCTCATCATTTAAGGGTTTTTCAGACTGAAAAATTAGGTTTTAGACTCATTTCCCTCTGTCAGAAAAAAATCTGAATATTGAAATTTTTTTCCCTACCCCTCACATTTTCTTAACGTTCTCAGTGGGTCTTCTTAGGGGGAAGTGATGTTCAGTTACATTTAACAAACTTTGAAAAATGTGTAATCATTTATTTTGCAATAATGGAATTGAAAGTATACCTACAGGGAGAATGTCATCTGTGCTGTATTATTATAAATTACATAAAGGGAATGTAATTTTGTTTTCAGGTCCTAGAATAAGGTTTTGAGGCAGCCCTTTAGAATTTATGTCCTTGTTAATAGTTAAATTAATTTCTAACTAATGTGGTGTTTCCTGTTGTATAGTGAATCTGAAATACCATCTTCTGTTGAAGGGTCTCACTGTTTCTTGCATTTACTTATACTATTTTTACTGAGGACATTCTTTTCCTAAACAGTTCTAGTTTCGGGATGGTAATGCAAACTTTATAGGGGTCTATTTCACTACAAAGTTCCTCTTGACAAAGAACAAAGTACTTGACCACTTTAATGTCAGCGTTATGTGACACAGGGGAAGAATAGTGATTGTTCATAGGAACCTGCAACTATTTCTTCGCAATAAACAGTGCTTTCTGAAGTTGTTATTCATCCTTGTAAACTTAAGTTAGTGGAGATGCTAATGTGGGATTTTTGTCATTATTATGTAGTAACCTAGCGTTTCGCTTTTTGCATTCTTTCAGAAACAAGATAGCCATGGCCACAGAAATTGGCTCCCCGCCCCGATTTTTCCATATGCCGAGGTTCCAGCACCAGGCGCCTCGGCAGTTGTTCTACAAAAGACCTGATTTTGCACAGCAGCAAGCGATGCAACAGCTTACTTTTGATGGAAAGCGGATGAGAAAAGCTGTGAACCGAAAGACCATAGACTACAATCCCTCTGTAATTAAATATTTGGAGGTTAGTTAATTTTCTGGTTTTGTTTGAAAAACTTTTTTCCTTCCTGAAATTCGTGATTGTGCTTTTCAGTGTCCATAGAACAGTCTGGAATACTGGGAGATCTACTGCTGCATTTTCAAACTAAATGACAAGTGCTTGTAAATTTGGTATAGCATGAATACAAAGGGGTTTGGTATTTGATAATAAAACTGTACATATACACAGCTGATTTTGTAGTATGTGTCAACACCAGTTTTTACATTCTGTCTTGGAATTCCAGCTTGGAGTGCAATTGAGTGTCTTGTGTGATGTTCTGACTTTTCAGTGAACATAAAAACTCATTATAAATAATGTAAGTGTTCTTATTTTTGTTTTGAAATAGAAATTTCCCAAAATGGGAAATAAACCATTACATCTTCCACTCTAAAACCAGGGCACCATGAGAATGTTTTCTCTTCATTTTACCAAATAGCACTCCATCTTGCACTGTGGTCTCTGAAAGTCCCTTTCTGTACAGTTAATACGTACAGAACAACTTAAATGAAGTTTTGTTGAAGAAATGTTTCAGTAAGAATGCTTATTTAGCTTTCCTAATGGGATGGTATTAATTTCTTAAGAAATATATTTTTATGATCCAGATTTACTGTACAACTACTGGATATTAGCTCAGAAGAAACAGAATCAAATCTATAAATAGAGGAATTGTTGGAATCTCAACAGCATCATTGCAAAAACATGAAATTAATTCGGTCTGCTGTGGCTAGTGCATGATTAAAGATTGTAGGTGTTAACAATTGGAAGGTTTTCTTAATAAATTTAAATTAGCTTCTAAGATTTGTTTAAACACTGAACATTTAAAACATACTCTTATGTTTTAGGAATGCCCCAAAGAAGATTATATTAGTGGTGGACTAATTCTAAAAAAATAATTTTAGTAGTTCAGGACCTTTTTTACTGTGGCAGAAATAAGCACCTTCAACCTTCTGTTTATTAAAACAAAATCAAATCTGTGTGTTTTAGACGCTTACACAAAATTAGGATATACCGGAATTCTATTTCAGTCCTGGCTTCAGTACTACTGATTTAATTTGATGTGGTTCTATAAAAAATGAGAAAAACGGTTTATGTGTAATTTGCTCTTGACTTAAGAAATTCTAGCAAACTGTAGTAGTGTATGCTGGAAATGTTTTTACCTAGAATTTTAGCTTATGTTTGTAATATGTACAGAGATCCAAATTGGTAAAGTCTACAGCACGAAGCGGAAATAATTTTATTCTTAATTCATGTAAAGTGTTTTTAAAAAGGCTGTGTTTGACAGCTCACAAAATGTGACTAATTGAAGGCATTTTTTTCACTTGGTCTTCTAAGTCTTAGCCACTTGAATGCATTATTATCTTTATGCTTCAGCTGCAGAAGCTTCCTTTCTAGCTCGTCTCGCTGTGTGGTGTTTCATTTAGAGTTCATCAACACAGCTCCTAATGGTGTAAAAGCTTATATTGAACATAAAGCTTTTAAAAAGATTGAACGTGCTTCTTGTAGAGTACCTATCCTATTAGCCTGGGCAGCAAAGTACTAATTGTCTTTGTTAAAATAATGTGGCTTATTACATAGGACTGCTCCTTTCATATTGTTAAGCTGCAATTTTAGATGAGCTGCTTTAGTCTAATTAAATTAAGACTTAAAACGTTCTTGAATCTTTTGCTTATGCTGTACAAGTTCTACAGGTTTCCTGAGACCAAAGTCTTTTAACTGAGTTTATTCTAAAATCCTTGGAGTACGTTGGGATTTCCCAAACAGGCTGTGAATGTGTTCCTTATTTTCTGTTGTTTAGCAGTGAAGTATAGCGGTGGTATGAACTAGGAGCTGTTTTCTTCTTTCTAGAATAGAGTATGGCAGAGAGACCAGCGAGATATGCGAGCAATCCAGCCTGATGCAGGATATTATAATGATGTAAGTAAAATCTTTCTATTCCCTGATGAAGTTCTGTGGATAAAATTTGTCCAGAAAATTGGAAGGTATCTGCCTGTCAACTGAGGTTATCTTTTTGTCCACAAGAGGCCTGAAAGATACGAAGGGTATCTTCAGTCTACATTATCTTGCTCTATTGGAATTCATGTCCACAAAGAGAACCTGAAATTGGATAGGCTTTTAATTTTTGGACAGAAGAACTCTGATAATGCACTGAACTTGCAAACCTGCTCTTGAACATGCTGGTTCTGGATGTTTGAGATGGTAAATCATGCAGACCTCTGAACACTTCCACTGACTGACTTCTGATAATACACCTGCAAATGAAAAACCCACTGTCCAGAAATGGCTGTTGAGAATGTATGCTTTTCTTGCAGCTTCTGATTAGAAATGTCATTACTAAATCTTTTGTTTCTTCTCTTGTAGTTGGTCCCTCCTATAGGAATGCTGAACAACCCTATGAATGCTGTAACAACAAAATTTGTTCGGACATCTACTAATAAAGTAAAATGCCCAGTGTTTGTTGTCAGGGTGAGTATAGTACTGGATTCACTGAGTTGTATTGTCTTAATTTAAATTAGAGTGATATTCTTAACTGAAGAAAGAAACAAGATGTAACAGTTAAAAGCATTGCCAAATAAAACCAGCATGTGGAATGTATGGACTACTTCTGTGTCTAGTCTTTCTGTGGACGGTTTTAGGAAATTAAATGGTAAGGTCGGAGTACAAAATAATTCTTACTCTCAGAGTTTGAGCTGCACTTCCTACTTTTTTTTGTTTTTTTTGGGGAGGCTAATATAACTTGACTCTCAAAAAATGCAATTCTGTCTCTGCTGTTTGACTCTTGTAGCATTTTTTAACAACTTTTCTGTGATGTCAGCAGTATTGTTTAATATGGATGTTGTGTGCAAGAAGTGTGTTGGTGCCAATAAGCTGTTTCTTCTGTGGCTAGATTTTTTTTCATTGCTTTTACAGTGGGCTTTGTCCTGTTGTTACAAAAGTCAAAAGCCCTCTGGCACAGTTCTGCATTTTTGTCTATCTTGCATCCTTTAGAAAGTCATGTAGTAAACTCCAGTTCCGCAGATTCCCTGCAAGAAGCTTATGGTTTATTTGGAGGATTGTGAAGAAATATTTGAATGTTATAGTTGCACAGTTTAGTTACGTTTTTCTTTTGCAGTGGACCCCTGAGGGGAGACGCTTGGTCACTGGTGCATCTAGTGGAGAGTTCACTTTATGGAACGGACTGACTTTCAATTTTGAAACGATATTGCAGGTAAATTAATCTATCGAGATTTCTGTGTATTTCCTTGAGGTCTTGGAGCATGTTTTACAAACACATCTTCACCCTGCTCATTACGGGTCTGTTGTCTAAGTACGGTAATGGGAGCCTTGGAGGTCTTTTTTTTTTTTTTAATTCCTTATTCTGCTCTGACATCAGGTCAGGCTGTGGATGTAGGCAATTAATTTAATGCTTCACATTCCATCTCCATATGCTATACTAACTGTTCTCAAGAGCATACTATGAGTATTTGTAATAATAAAGAAACTTTAGAAAGAAAATGCAAATACTTTTCATTTATTATTTAGAAGACCATTATATACAGAGTAAGGGAATTTTTTTTTCCATGATAACATTGAATCTAACTAGGTTGTCATTGTTTTAATTTCTTTGTTGCAGCTGTTAAGTGGGAACTTTACTAACTTTTGTGTTTGTGTGGGTCAGACAGTATTTGAACATGCTTGCTAGAAGTTTTGTTTCTGAATTTACAGGCTCACGACAGCCCTGTAAGGGCTATGACTTGGTCACACAATGATATGTGGATGCTGACAGCAGACCACGGGGGATATGTGAAATACTGGCAGTCCAACATGAACAACGTCAAGATGTTCCAGGCACATAAGGAGGCGATTAGAGAGGCCAGGTTTATACACAATATACCATTTTCTGTAGTACCTATTGCCATGATTAGACTGTTCTCTAAGTGTAATCTGGGTGCAGAAATGCATGGGTTCTGTCAGATTCTGGGAAGCTTCCTGCACCACATAAACACAATATTTTCTTTTGTTTCCACATTCTCACCGTTTTGCTGGCACCTTTCTGAATTAGTATTGTCCCAGTATCCGCCTCTGCAATATGTTAGAGATGTATTTGTCTGCCGCATTTTGCACTGGTATTCTTTTCATTTTTATATGGTGACGATGTGTATCAGTTATTCCTTTTTATACGCACTGTGTAAGACAACAATTTCATTCCAAATAAAGAATTCAGTCTTTAATAATCTAACTGAATAAAATATAAAGCCTTCAGAAATAAAACACCTGCATAGTTCTCACAAAATAATAAAACACTAAATAAAGTGAAGAACTGCTTGGCTTGGTGAAGCCAAGACTTCCAGTAATACTAAATACCCACGCAGACTGCCACGTACAGAAGTCTAATGTTAATACTGAATGGGTTCTTCAAGCTTGAAACTGTAAGCAAGCCATTGAAAAGAAGACTGTAGGATATTCTCTTGGTTCAGTGTTGATGCCTCAGTTGTGCAAATGTCTATTTATATAAAAAATGGAATCTAAAGTGATACTATCAGTAAGATGTAAATGAAGGATGTTTCTAAAGCAAACCTGGACATAATCTTTAGTAAGATATGGAAATGTTTTTAAAGTAAGCCTGAAGAGAAGCTGCAGATCCAAAATGAAGCTAAAGCAGTGTTTCTTCGGGTTCAGGTGCCGGCCCTTGGCGATAAAGGTTCACTGCCACAAAACCACTTTCCACTAAAGTCACCATTTTTCTTTGGTAGGGTGCAGCATTTTCTACCAGAGTTTGGTTATGAGAAGTGCTTATGTTGGATTCAGTTACTGTCTGACTATCATGGCCATACACTGAATTTCCCTACTGTTTTAAGCCCTTTCCTGATCATAAAGATCTAGGATTTCACAAGGGCTCCCTCATGGTCTTTCACTGCACCAGAAAGGAAGTGAGTGCCTGTCAGTTGCTGGAGATGTTCTGGCCATAATCACATGGCTAAATAACTCCTTGCTTTTCCAGTGACTTTCATCAAGCAATATTGACTGCTCAATCTGGAAGCTGCTTCTATGTCTGTAGGATTCTTTTCATGGTGTTGATGGGGTGTAATAAGAGGGATTTTTTCCAAATTACTTTTACAATAAGTGGTACACTTGTTTTATATACAATTTTTTTCCAACAGTTAATCCAACTAGCATTTTCCTGTGACCAGCTTTCCCTTATTTTTGCTTCTCTGCTGCAAAGCACCTGTGGCTGAAGAGGAGTTTTTTCCCCTAAGAGATGTTCTCCTGTGCTTCTACACAGTGTCACTTTCTTATGGTATTACCAAACATGAGAAATCTAGGGTGACAGTTGTCAAATCATATTGATGTTGCTTCTCATCCTGCAGAGAAGGCGTTACCGTGTGCAGTCATAGATAGGAAGGTGCTAAAAATAAATACTGGATTTTTTCCTCATTTCACAGGGGACTGCAATGCCATAGTAATCCTATGCTAAATTCATGTCTCGTGATGAAGTGTCGTTTGGCAGGCACTATATTCACTTAAAAGTCCCTATGTTCAAATGCATCCTTCAGTGTATAACACATTACAGTATAATTTTGCCCTGTCTGAGAAGCATAGATAATCTGTTAAATGCTGACTTCTTTCCCCTGCTGTGTGTCTTCATGTAACAGTTTCTCACCCACGGATAATAAATTTGCTACATGCTCTGACGACGGCACTGTTAGAATCTGGGACTTTCTACGTTGCCATGAGGAGAGAATTCTTCGAGGTATGTGTACCAAAAGTACTGATTGGGGTATTTCAATAGGGGGAAAACCTTTTTTTAAGTAGGTGTTCACAGTACAGAAGTATCAGCTTGTCTACAATTTTTGTTACATCCCTGTCTTAAATCCTCCAAACAAGTTTTTGTTTGGCTGCTGCTACAGGTGCCTTATAATATTCAGATAGGCTGCAGTTCACAATGGCGTTACTCTGTTTTCTGTCCACTTAAGCTCTAAGCAATGGAGGTGGATATAAGGGCATTTTTCTACTGCTAATGTTGGTAGAAACAACTGTTTCTGGATCAGGAATACATTTATCTTTCTCCAAAGCTTAATCTTTATGACCACTTCTGCGTCAGAACATGCATCTTCATGCAGAGGATTCCATTCTTTTCATGGGAGTGCCTTCCATTCTGATTTCTTCAGAGGCAAGGTAGTTACTTTTTCTCAGTCCTTAAGAGGAGGAGAGCATTTAGGTAGAGGAAACAAGTAAATTTTGATCGCATCACGCATAGCACATGCAAATAATCCTAGCTTCAGTTCGATAGTTTTCTGTCCAACGTCTCTGTATGCTAACTTCTGGTGCCTTTCTACTGGCCTTGTTGAACTTTCTCCTTCTCTTGTTGCAGTCTTATTCAGCAATAACAATAGCTTCTGACACCTATTCCTTTCTTGCGGAAGATGTCAAAGGTACATAATTTAATAGGAGAATACATTAAAGACTGCCATGAGATTGGGGGTGGTAGACATGCAGGTAAACTGAAAGTATGCAATAAAACCATGGAACTTCAGTTTTAGGTGTGTGAGCTTGTTCATAGCTTTCCTAAACTAAGGATTTTTTTTTTTTAAATCATGCTTCCAACTTGGACCTGCATTATATATTTTATGAAGTAGAGCTCTCCCTGTTTCTCTTGACTTTTGAGCTCTCTTCTTGTTTTACTAATATGCGTTACTTTTAAACACCACTACTTTGAAAAGACATTGGGCTCTGGCATTCTTCGAGTGATGATATTCTAACAATCTATGCATACACATTATAGTAGATGTGTTCTTTGCAGGAGCTGGCAAGCAAATTTCTAGACTATATCGCTTACACCTGTTACTCTGGAAGGACCCAAACAGATTTGGGACTGTTTTGCTTGATGCTTGACAAAAGGAATCATTCTGCACTAAACACATTATGTATATACCTTCCTTCAGGTCTGTACTAACTACTCCTTTAAACCGTGTGGAGGAAATGGGGATTGTCTCCATACAGAGTTGTCAAAATTATAAAAATTCCTCTAATAATTCTACATTCTTTTAATGTTCTGCATAAAGTAGGAGGAGTAAAGCATTTAATTTAGGCCATAGAGAGCAGAACTTGCATTACATTTCTGTTATCCTCTGTACTTGAACATTGTGATTGTGACTATATCTCAAAATAGAATTATGCTTTAATTTCTTACAGGTTATACATCTCAATATACATTTTTAGTTTGCAAAATAGCTCTCTAAAGAATACCTTTGCTTCTACTTATATCACGTACCCACAATACACTTCATCTTTTATGTAAGTTGGAAATATGTTGAGACCTTTATGTCTGTGGATGAAATTGGACAGGGCAGATCATTCCTTGTTTCTGCTGTCAGATAAGCAAAAAAAAGGGGTAAAAAAAAACCAGACCAAACCCCCCCCCCCAAAAAAAAACAGTCCCAACCCAAACACTGCCACCAAAAATCCCACACAACAAAGCAAAGGTTTTGGTCCCTAATGCTGTTGTTAAATATGTTAAATAAATATAAATATGTATGGGTAACCCTTAAGTAGCTTTCCAGGTGGAAAACATAAGCTTTCTTTTTGTTACTTGGAGTTTAGAGCTTATGGCTTTAGGAAACTGATCTTCAGCTTTTTGCTTCTCCACATGCTTTCACATATTTAGGACTGTGGCCTGTAATACTCTGCTTAGTACACCGTTCAGAATCTGTAAATATTCACGCCATTGCCATTCCAAAGTTAGTGATCTGTAAATTAAAATTCTGGTGGCACTTGATTAAAAATATATTTCATTATGTACAAAAAGTGTTTAGATCAAATGCCATGCTAAGGAATGTTTTTTTACTTCCTACTTTCACAAATCATGCTTCAGCTATTCTGGTTAATATTGGTGCTGTGAAGTTGAAGCAATTCTACGGTGTTGTTTAGTTCCAAAGCTTCGCTTCGTCTGTTAAGGTATTCTTCACGGTATCACACAACTATAACAACCAAATGAAACTATCAATTCACAGTCAGCTGTGTTCATAAAAACTATTATCACTCAAAGGGATACAATGTCAATATATCACTATTGCTACTTATTTCTCCAGTAACAAATTAAGGAACATATTTTTTAAAACAAATTTGAGGACTTTAATGCTAAGAAATGCTTTTAAAGCAATTCCATAAAGAGCATTAAAGGTACTGAGATAAGCTTTGCTGATACAGAAAGGACAAAATTCTCTAGACTTGTTACAGGTTCTTTTTTTGCACTGGAATGAACTAATATGATTTATTTTTATTAAGTGGTTCCCTTAAGACTGAAGGAACAATTCTAGTCTTTACCTTCCAAAGAGGATTGGAAAAACAAATTGGAAGTGGTAAATCACATAGGACTTCTTAAGGTTTTGTTGGAATTCATTTAACTATCTATAGCAGGCTATACAATTTCTTCAGTAGTTAAACCCATGAATACGTGAGCTGCATGAGAAATACTTATTAACTGTGTCCAACTTCCCTTTAATTTGTCAAAATGAAGATAAACAGGACACCCTGTTTTTGTTCTTCCTACATAATGCCAGTAGTTCTGGATCTTTTTTCTTTAATCTGGCTCAGAGTCCCTTTGCTGCCCAGCTTTTCACTAATTCTTGTGGCTTTGCTGCTGTTTCTACCATTGTGGCTTTCCAGGGCATAGTAGATGGGGTTTGGGCATTTTGTTAGAAGTATGTGCAGATTTATCAGACTCCTTTTTAATATCGTAAAGAAATACATAGGATTAAAATCTTCCATTTCTTGGGGAATCATCTTAAAGTAATTCATCGTTATTTTGGCAGAACTTGAAGGTGAGGGAAATGTCATAGTTATCCGCTTGCTTCCCCTCAACCCGATTACTGTCTCTTCTCTTGAAGTGAAGGTGCTGTGCTCCTAATTCTGCACCTGTAGTTTTAGCCTATGTTAATCTCTGTCATGTTACCATCTTGATGATGGTAACAATTATAGTTTGGTGCACTTGCTAAAATACACTGGTAGTGTATTTAACTGATGTTGAAATAAAAAAGTTTTTGTTAAAATAACAAGACATGGAAAACAGGCTATAGTAAAGCAATGTGGTGTTTTCATGTCAATAATCTGTTACTCTGAAAGGCATTTCCAATAATGGCACTTAAAACACTATCAGATCTTTAGTCTAAACAGTTGCAGTGAAGTTAATGCGAGGACTCATGTAAACAGTCCCCACTTGTGTAAGAACATA